CTTTTTTTTTAGCGCCAATCCGCCAGCTTTTAGCGCTAGGCCGCGAGATATCTATCACATATTCATATCGCTATCTATACCCCCCAAGTCATTTCTCATATCACTTATTCATCTTTTCTTCTTCTGAGGGGTGGTTGCAATTAAGTGCTCAAGCTGGTGCTGGTGTTGTTTGGGGCAAGGGGATGGTGAATGGGTGAGTAATTGATTTGGACGAGTGATCGCCGGCCATGGATTCGAGGTTGTGATCTTTTCATATTTGCGCAACACTCGATGCATTGATGCATCGACTCGCAATTGGAAAGGGTTTGTACATAGCTGTGTAGAGTTGTCCATGAGGCAGCGGAATCGCGTTGCTCCCTTCTGAATCTTTGTTTGCGGTGCGTTATGATTGGACCGCCCTTTACAGTTATTTGTCTGCCTATATACTAGTAGTCAGAATTAATACTAGTGGATCCTGCTGGATTCCATTATCGCAGTACTTGTCTAGATCATATGTATTGAGATTGCATGAGGATAGTGCATGACTCCCTTGATCTCAATACATATTTCAACATGTCTAGGTCGTACATGACACCAAGTACTGTGTGCATGTGCTGATTATTTGCGTGGGTCACAGGTGCGTACGTAGAGTACTTACATAAACGGGATCGATCCAGCGCTATTGTAGGTTGACTGTCACTCAAAACTTGTATGATTTGACGTTAACTTCTAACGAGGCAGCCTCATTTCATTCACCTTGCGGATATGCTGAGACCTCAAAATTTCTTGGCCTTGGTTTGCATGCCGCCAGAAAAAAGCTCAACGAGACGGCAAGATGAGGGCGAAGCTTCAACCTCGCTAGGACTTGTGATATCCCTGCTGTGTCATTCAATTCCTCTAACTGCTGCACCTTCATTGTGGACTGTCTGGATATCACTGGCATTATGTAGGTTCTGAGTCAAGGAAGCTTTGCAGAAGGCAACAAGCAATTTGGCATTTTCCAGGTGGTGTAGGCTGTGACATCAGTGCAAGAACTGGTTATTTTCTGTCTCTTTCGTGCTCATGGACTCACTGCAATGGCGAGCACTCTGCAAGATCTTCACTAGTAGCATTTCTGTACTCATTGCACTATGGACCTCGTGTCCGTCGACATGCTTGCAGCGAGCGTAGCACACGTTCTTGTTAGCAATAGGCTATCACCACTGTCTCATCGCAACTTCGCATGTCAATCTCTAACGAACCACTTATGAATCGAAATAAAGACGAGGAACAACAAGAGCATGATTCACGGGTGCACAGAACAGGATTGAAAGAAGATTGAGAAGAAACAACGAAGGTGACTGCGCTGAAGCCAAGCATCCTTAGTAGGCGTTGCCTTGCACCTGCTTTGATATTCTTTCACTCACTTGTCACCAAAATTATACCCAGGCATTGTCCAGACGAGCAACTTCTAGTGTAGGACGCAGACCCAGTTCTCGCAGGAGCATGTCGACGTGACGCGCATCAAGGTTGTTGTTCTCATTTTTGCGTCGTTGTGGCACGACATCGTCTCAACCAAAATGCAAGCTGAGCGCCTCGCTAAGACATTCGCCCGCTATTATGCGGTGCATACAGTCACTAGTGACAGTACATGTGCAAGAAGGTGATATATGACCCGTATTCCATGCTGCTTACGATGCGGAACCCGCATGGCCTGCCAATTGACGACAAGAATATTATCTGACAAGAGTTCTGCCACGACTTCGAGTCAATGTTTGCTGCGGCGGATTATAATAGTGCAACTACAGTTCAACAATCTTGGTACTAGGGTTCGGTGATGCCGACCATCACCTTGCTTGCGTCGGAGCGGTCCGGAATCAGGGCTTGTTCTGATAACGTTGTACAACACACTCCGTTTCGAGTACGTAACAAACGGCTCGGTCTCCTTCTGTTTTCCCTTCACATCGGGTTTAAATGTTGTACATCATGGATGAAACTTAAAGTTTTGCCCAAAAACCAACATTAAAACCTTCTCCCAAATATCGACAACCCCGATGTGCTTATCACTAAGTTCAGGATCCTCAATATGGGTTTTCTTTGCAGGAGGGGGTTACGAAGAAACTGTGGTTTGAACAGATCCCGAACTTTGAGGATCTGTTTTGTATAAACTCGTGATAGTGTTCCCGCGCCAGCACAAGCAACGCAGACAACTTGTCAGGTTTCTTCGTTCTAAGTACGGTCGATCAAGATCTGATGTCGTACCGAGTCTTTCACTGATCTCGCATTCGAACATCTCGACTGTCATACCGCAAAGCAGCCTTCACCAGTGCGCATTTTCGAGTCCAAGGGTTCCCGAGTGACAAGTCTAGCTAGGGGCGATGTTGGGGCTGCTACTCGTACATGGCAGACCGTGAGTTTTTCAGTTCCGTGACTTCTTGCTTGACATCCTGTCCGACTGCAGTAGGACGAAACATCCGGTTGTGGCCTCAGGGCATAGACATTCAGATGGCGCCTCACAGTGTTCAATCGGTTACACTGCTTGTCTTTCACCTCGCAGCCTGCTCCTTCTGGATCAATGACAGACTCTACAGCATGCTCCTGCTGTGTTGTGCATATCTGGCGCAGCTTAAGTTGCTTCCCTCCGGTTGACCCCGGTCCAAGATCATTCCACCGCATTAGCCTCGCACACCACAGTGGGGCGTGGGTTACACGTGCATGCTGTGGTTTTTTCTCCCTCATAACTCATCAAGATTTTACAGGTACTGCAGTGTTTCTCGACGGCTTGTACATATTTTACTCTCGAATATCAGTTTGTATTTGGCCCGTAGCCAACCAAATGTCAACCTTCGTACTGGATCCTCGCAATGATCCCGTTACCGTCTTTGGTGAGGAGCCAAGCCACCAAGTACACCCCCAGGACCTGGGAGAGACCCGTCTCATGTTCAGTGAAATGCTACAAGTTGCTATCAATAGTATGTGCCATCTATCTTCATTCAGTGCTTACCGACAATTTCCCCAAGCTATTCTGGTGACACTTTATTTCGTCATGATTCTGTTGTCTCGTTTCGCGACACGCTCCGCACCGGATCCACTCGATGATACCCTCCCACCCTTGAGTGAGGAGCCAAGCCACCCAGAACTCCCTCAGGACCCAGAAGATACACTCCTCAGTGGAATGCGACAAGTCACAATTACCAGTATGTGATATGTATTTCAAGTCACCACGAATTGACTTTCCGAAGGCGTCCGTGCGACTGATCTCACTCTTGGTCTCCGACGCATACCAGCGGGCTTCCACGTGATAGTACAAGCTGACGGTGCTGAATGGCAGACAAGCAACAAACCTATACACATAGACCAGGCCGTCGTCGAATGGAACGAGCGCATACTTCTGTAAGTTATCATTCATCCCGTCTTTCCTGCAGGTATTGAACTATGTTCTAGGCCAAGTGAGCTATCTTCCAAAGTTCGGGTCAGCGTGTATGCCTCATTTGAATTGGGTCTCATGCTTGGTCCTGGAGAACTCCTCCGCACATTCGAGATCTCCGTAGGAGAATTACTGAATCGCAGTGAAAATTCACATCGTGAGTAACTTCTGGTTGGTGTGAATGGCTCGTGACGGGTGTTAACAAGATAAACCAGCCATCGCATTTCAGCCAAAGGCAGGGGAAGTCGTATCCTCGTGTACTTCACTGTTCATAACAGTGGAGCAACGACGTTCTGATGTCAATGATACCGCAGTTCTTCGCCCTGTTACTGCCGTGAGTGATCCATGCGTTCTGATAGCCTGATGCTGAGAACGTGTAACGTGCAGCTCATGACCAGCGATATGCATGCGTCAGTACTCAAGACGGATGCCGGACATCGTCTTCTCGCACGATACCGCAGGACGCAGAACAGCAGGGATCTCGACCAATCCATAAAACACTTCGAGGGTACCTCTGATATCTGCCCCGTTGATCATCCATACCGCCCTGCCGCACTGTTCAATCTAGCTTCCGCCAAGTTTGTTAGTTGCCAGGCTAATGACACCTCCCTCGACCTCGACATCCCTATCTCTATCTTTCATGACGCCCTTGATTCACGTCCCACTGGTCATCCAGACCGACCCATCACCCAGCTCCATCTTGCCATTGCTCTGCTGTCTCGTTTCGCGAAACGGGGTTTTCAAACAGATGCTGATACGGCTGAAGAGCTCCTCGACGAAGTTCTCGGTGTGTACCACGCCAACAGCCATGTCTACAGATCTGCTTTGCTTGCAATTGAGACTTCTGCTCGGCACCCACTACACCCACCTGGAAGTATCGACGCGAGTGGTCGTGGGCAGGAGCGGAACGTTGCATACGCGCTTCCATTGTCGCCAAATGAACTGCTTCGTCGAGCAGATCTTTGTTCACAGAGAGATGATCCTCATGCCTTGGATGAAGTAATATCCCTTCATGATGATGCGCTAGGATACTACAGCGCGGCGCATGCTCAGCGAGGGAGATTGATGTGTAGCTTGGGTGCAATGATGGTGACTCGCTTTGAGCGCCGAGGCAATAGCCAAGACCTCGACAAGGCCATCGCGCTTCACAGAGAAGCGCTAGCTTTTGAGCCAATCGGTCACCCGACTCGGTCCATATCATTGAATAACCTTGCACGTGCGCTGCTCACCCGATTCAAACACCGAGGCAATGGTCAAGACTTGGATGAGGCTATCACGCTTCACAGCGAAGCGTTGGCTTTGTGCCCTGTCGGTCACCCAGATCGCTCCTCGTTTTTAAGTAACCTTGGGGCTCTTATCTCCACCCGCTTCAATCAACGAGGCAATGTCCAAGACTTGAATGAGGCTATCGCGTTTCACAGGGAAGGACTGGCCTTGCGCCCGGTTGGCCACCCAGATCGATTCATGTCATTAAACAACCTTGGGAATCAACTCTCCACCCGTTTCGACCACCGAGGCAATGTCCAAGACCTGGACGAGGCTACTGCGCTTCAGAGCGAAGCACTGGCTTTGTGTCCTGTCGGTCACTCAGATCGGTCCGCGCCATTGAATAACCTTGCAAATCGACTCTCCGCCCGTTTCAGGCACCGAGGCAATGTCGAAGACTTAGATGAGGCTATTGCGCTTTGTAGGGAAGGGCTGGTCTTGTGCCCAGTTGGTCACTCAGATCGGCCCATGATATTAAATAACCTTGCGAATAAACTCTGGACCCGCTTCGACCACCGAGGCGATGCCCAAGACTTGGACGAAGCTATCGCGCTTGTCAGGGGAGCGCTGGCTTTGTGTCCTCTTGGTCACCCAGATCGGTCCATGTCATTAGACATCCTTGCGAATGGACTCTCCGCCCGCTTCGAGCGCCGATGCAATGACCAAGACTTAGACGAGGCTATCGCGCTTCACAGGGAAGCGCTGACTTTGCGCCCGGTCGGGCACCCAGCTCGGTCCATTTCATTCAATAACCTTGCGAATCACCTCTACATCTGTTTCAAGCACCGAGGCAATGGCCAAGACCTGGATGAGGCTATCGCGCTTCACAGGAAAACGTTGGCTTTGCGCCCGGCTGGTCACCCAGATCAGTCCATGTCGTTTCATAACCTTGCGCATCTTCTCTCCACCCGCTTTGAGCACCGAGGCAATGGCCAAGACCTCAAAGAGTCACTAGAGAATTCCCGCTGTGCATTGAACCTGTTGACGCAACATGATCCTCGTCAAACAAAGGTTCATATGACAGTAGCCTCCGCCTATCTGCTGGTCCATCAATCAGGCCTTGATGACATTGGCGAAGATACTGACAGTCTCAATGCCTCCATGCATCATTTCAAGGCAGCAGCAAATATTCTCACTGGAGGTTTGCTGTATCGCCTGCGAGCAAGTCTAGCCTGGGTTCGCCATGCTGCTCAATATACACATGGCACTGAACTGGAGGCTTATGCAACTTCTATGCAACTTTTTGATGCTTACATGTCTGTGACAGCTTCGGTGTCATCTCGCCATCATATCATGAAGGATTTCCCAATCACGCTTGCGGTCGATGCCGCATCATGCGCTCTTCGTCGTGGCGATATGTGCCGCGCTGTAGAGTTATTGGAACAAGGCAGGACTCTCATCTGGACCCAGATGGCGCGATTCCGCACACCTCTTGACAGCCTCCAGAAAAGCGGAGATCGTGCACAGGTTCTGATGATGAAATTTAGAGACCTCAGCTCCCTCCTTGAGAGTCCTCACGTGAATGATTCAGAAGGGATGCAAAGAGTCAACGTAGAAGCAAAAGCTACTCGTTACAGACGTCTAGTGGAGGACTGGAATACAGTTGTGGAAGAGATCCGGAAGCTCGAGGGCTTCTCACGCTTCCTACTGCCGCCCTTGTTCTCGGACCTCCAAGATGCAGCTTGCGATGGGCCTATTATTGTTCTCGTTGCAAGCAAGTCGTCTTGCGATGCCATCATCATCTGGAACAACAAACCTCCGACTAGCATTCAACTCCCTACTGATTTGGACAAACTCCGGCGATTGGCGGTTGCACTTCAACAAGCAGTTCATAGCGAGACCGGTCCGAAAGGGACCCAACCAGGGCTGATCAAAGCCTTGCGAGAATTATGGGATGAGGTAGTCCACCCTGTGGTTCAAATTCTGCATAGATTCGCAGGAAAAGGTTCCCGCATATGGTGGTGCCCAACTTCTCTCTTCAATTTCTTACCGTTGCACGCTGCTGGCGAATACAAGGACGGTGGAAAGTCGCTTTCGCAGCTATATGTTTCTTCATACACTCCATCCCTTACCGCGCTCATCAAGGCTCGCAAACACCGTGACAGGGCTCTGCCTGTGTCCTTCGCTGCCATTGGTCAGAACCGCCCTTCAGGACGTTTATTTTCTTTGCCGTGTGTCGACTCGAACTGGACTTGGTGGGGAGTCTCCTACCCCCTTCCCAGACTGTGTCCTTCACCAAAGTCACGAGCAATCAATCAACAAAATCAATGGCCCTGCGCACATTGCGAGATAACCATTGGATCCATCTTTCCTGTCACGGAACACAAAACTTTCAGGAACCCTTCAAGTCGGCATTTCTTATGCGCGACGAACCGCTTCAACTTCTTGATATCAGGCACACGGATCTATCTCAGCACGAATTTGCATTTCTCTCTGCTTGCGAGACTGCAGTGGGTGCCGTCCAAACACCCGACGAAGCCATTCACTTGGCAGCTGGCCTACAATTTTCTGGGGTGAAGAGTGTCATTGGTACATTTTGGAATGTCGATGATAGTACCGTGCAACGCTTGGTCGAGGCATTCTACAAGAATTTTTGCGGGGATGGCAAGATGAATTCAAAAAGAGCTGCCCGAGCACTGCACAAGGCAGTCCAGTCGTTGGCTAGTGATAAAGACGTGCCCTTGGACCAGCGCATCGTGTTCATGCATATTGGCCTATGATCAATTTCGTACGTCCTGCTACCTTGTTCATCAAAGCATTCTTCTTCATGTGTATGCCAAGGCTAACACAGCTTGGGGACAAGGAATCGGACGCTGATATTTCGAACTTTACGAATCTATGTCATTCTAATTGTATCTCTCATCACGACCGAGGCTAATGGATGGATCACAATGATTGGTTTGAACACGGATCTAGCGTAACACATCATAGCGGCAAGACACAACATAAAGGTCGAATTGCGCGACTTATGATCGACCAGTATTGAAAACATCCGTCTACATATGATTTCCGTGGCCTAATACGAAGTGATATACGCGGATGAGTATCACTAGAAACCGCGAGCGAAAAAAAACCGTTGTTGATCAAGGAGCTGCGATATCAAGTTCGAGGTTCACCGAATGTCGTGGTCGATTTCGTGATGGGGCTAGCGTTTGCATCGTTCACGTTTGCATCAAATGTCAAGTTTCGGGGTTAGTATTCGTGTCATTCGAGCTCAGTCTATCAAATGTCAAGGTCGAGTTCTCGTCGAACAGGGCCAGCGTTCACATCGTCGGCTTGGTCTTCTTCCGTTGGTTTTTCTACAACCTTGCCGATGTTGGCGTCCAATATAGTGAAGGAGGCGGAGGAGTCGAACGAGAGACGTGGGTGTGGTTGGTCACTTGAAGGATGCGCCGGGGAACAGGAGGGGAGGCGCCATTGGACTACAAGAGGAGAGGGTAAGTGAGTACTTCGAAGCAGCAGTACATAGTAATACTGATAGTAAGAAACTTGAGTTGAACTTAGACTATGTTTTGGTGCGAACGATGGCGATCAGCAAACACCGACACTTTCAGTCGTCGAAGACGTATCGCTGCTGAAATACGAGCTATGAGAAGAACCCTGCTCACGGATCAGGGAAGTCGTCCGTGGGTTGCTGTGGGGTGGTGTCGAGATCGGGACTCAGCGGGAGTTCTGGCCGCAATGATACAGTAACCTCGACTCCAGATGACGAAGGCGACTTTCCAACACTGACGGTAGAAGGCTGTCGCTCAATGATGATGCATACCTCGGCTAAGACGTGATGAAGGCCTCACTAGCTCTTCTCCAATCTTGGTGTTAGAACCCGGAAGAAGACCAGCACCAAGCGACGAAATGTTCAGACCCAGAGCACACTCGGTTGTGACGACTCAGAAGGAGAATGTGAGGGCGCAGATGGGGAGGGAGACGCAGACGCAGACGCAGACGGCGTAGATGTTGACATCGACAGAGTAGGAAAGTGGATTTGGAAGATGTAGAGGTTAAAGGCGTGCGTGAGGATGTTGATGGAGAGCGTGATGGTCTTGACGAGAACCCAGGGAGGAATGAGATGCTTTGCCTCGTGGGTGACACGTGTATGCTGTGATTATAACTTGTCAGGGTTTTTAGGTGCTGCAGTGTTTCATGGTCGCTAGTAGTATACAGAAGTGGTACTCAAAACAAATTTTGAAATTCTTGAAAGCTCGCTAAACTGCGTTCAACTCCCTTCAACTCCCCGCTAAAAGTTTGAATGAACGCGCGCAAGTCCGAGAGAAATATGCTCGGCACACATCGGCATGTAGTCGGACTTTAAAACGACACTTGTGATTTTCAAAGCGTGCTATGTACATAGGGGAAAGTGGTAGAGTAGTGGTCCAACATACTTGTATTTCAAATGAAAGCATTAATAAAAATTGTAAAAAAACAAGGCCACCGGGCGGGAATGAAATCAGCTGTAGGTAGGGAGCGCGGGAGGGACCAAAATAAGTGCCGAGGGGAGGAGGGGGGGATGCTGAGCAGCTGGGGGGGGAGGAAAAGTGTCGGGAGGAAGATCTGCATGCCTCCGCGGAGACGCAAGATCAAGCGCCGAGAGTACGGCCATCTTCGATGCTTTCCAGCGGAGATGGGGCACTGGTCAGGTGGGGCGCGCGTGGGATCTGAACTAGAATAGATTTTCTGTAAGATAAGGGTGAATGTTAGTGCAACTTGCGAGAAGTGCAAGGAATACTTACCTTGGGTGGATGACACCCGGGAATTTGATGGTGTCCTGCTCGACGCTGTGGATGAGCATCGAGGTTCGAGGGTGAGGTCAGCGACGACACCGGCGTGTTCAGTGTGAAACGAAACTTCGGAACTTTCCGAAAATTTAAACTCCGCCAAAAAACTGCGTCACATATGCACCAAATAGATAGGAGTTTTGATCCCACACCCACTGTAGCTCCCACCACAACTATGCCTTGTCAATCCACACGTAAAGAGCTCCTGAATATCGTGGATCAGGCTGCACTTTCTTTGGCCAGGTTGCAATATCAGGGTATCCTAGATGACTGGTCGGACTTTGAGAGTGATTCCGGCTCTGAGGACTCACTTTCTACTACTGATTCAGACAATGTTACAATCAGTCTGTCTTTTAGCCCTCCTTCCCCCCTATCCCCCCTTTCCCCTATGACAGGGATTTCGGATTCTTCCAGTTTTAGTTCTGTATCTTCTGATGATGTCACTTTGCCTTATGACAGGCTTCAAGACACCATTGATGCTCTTCGTGATGAGGTTAAGAGGGCCCGCATACTCCAGAAGCCTGACGAGCCTCCTCCACGAGCACCTCAGCTTCACATGCTGGTCCATCATGAAGAACACCACCCTCACTTGTTTCAGCAGAAACTTTGTGTCAACCCTGAGATCTTTGACGACATCCTCGATTATATCTCTGATCACCCTATCTTCCAAAACCAGTCCAACAATCCTCAGCTCCCTGTCTCCATCCAGCTCGCCATCTTTCTGAATCGGGCAGGCCACTATGGCAATGCCATTACTCTTGAGGATGTTGCTCAATGGGCAGGTGTGAGTGTCGGGTCCGTGGTTAATTGCACTAATCGTGTGATGATTGCGGTACTTGATGCCCATGATCAGTTTATCTGCTTCCCAGCAGGTAATTCTGAGGATGCTGACCTGGCTCACAAATTTGCTGAGTCACGTACCTGTCCAGAGTGGAAAGGTGGCTTTCTAGCCATCGATGGCTCGACTATGAATCTGTTCACAAAACCTGGTTATTATGGTGAGACATTCTATGATAGGAAGTCCAAGTATTCCCTTGGCTGTCAGGTAACATTTTTTTTCATCCTCATGTGCAAAAATTAATTTAATTCTAGGCAGTCATCTTGCCCCACAATCTCCTGATTGTTGATTATTCTCTCGGTCACCCTGGGAGTGTCCATGATGCATTTGCTTTTTGATCCACTTGCCTCTATGAAGAGCATGCTGATCTTCTGCCAGATGGTCATTGGGTTTGGGCGGACAGTGCTTATCCATTGGAACCATGGTGTATTGCCCCTTTCAAGAAGCCTCGCAATGGACGGCTGACGAAGAACCAGAAGACATTCAATTATCACCTCTCTAAGGTATTTTTTTTTTAGTGGTTTTCCATTGATTTACATTTATTTAGATTCGTGTTCGTGTTGAACACACATTTGCTGTTTTGAAGGGACGGTTCCAGTCCCTTCGAGAGCTACGGTTCAGGATTCAGGCTGAGAAAGACCTTGAGTTTGCTGTGCAGTGGATCAAGTGTTGCATCATCCTGCACAACATGATCATTCGCTTTGAAATCGAGCATCGCAAGAAGGATGGAACATACGAGAGTTCTCTCAAGTGGGCTCGTACGGAGGGGGAAGATTTTGTTGATCAAGAGTTTGAGGGTCCAGATGGTGAAGAAGTAGTTGGTGACAGGACATATGATGGCACTCTAGGTCAAGCTGCCCATGCAAAGTTGATGGATGAGCTTTTTAACAGTCCTCACTCAGATGCACAACACAGGGAAGGATGATCACTGACACAATACTTTCTTGAACATGTACTACTACTAAAACACTTGTACAACAAATGTATATAGCTATGTAACATCAATCAAAGAAGTACTGACAAAACAACAAACATATGTCCAATGAAAACAACATGGTGACAACAATAAACTGAAACATGATGACAGCAGCAATGGACGGGGATGATGAGACGACGCGACGATGACGAGAACAAAATAAGCAACACAACAACTCACTCAACTCCTCCATCTGATCTCGGGCCCTTGTTCGCCTGCATCATTTGATGGAACTGAATTTTGAGTCGAAGATTCTCTGCTTCCTTGTCGAGCACCAATGAATGTGCTTCGTGGACTCGAATGTCCGCCTCACGTAGACGAATCTCAGCATCTTTAGACTCCTGCAGACGCTGATGGCTGACAGTGGCCTGGGAGGTCTCATGCTCGCAGGTAGCACGAAGCCATTCGTACTTCTTGATGTCGCAATTGTGCTCACTCTTCACCTCAAGCTTCGCGAGGAAGCGATGGTGTTTGTGATCGTGGCACGACATCGCATCAGAGTGCATAGACGTGAGCTCATCCTTAACCTTGTCTACCTGCTGCATCACATCCAGCTTCGCCTTCTTCTTCTTCAAGCCGCCGCTGTTTGGAAGCAAAGTCTGGGGGGTCGAGGACATAAGGTAGTCCGACGAGGAGGTAGTGTTGCGTGTCGTGGATGAATGCGCTGACATGCTGACCGAGACCTCCGATGGTAGGTTGTGTCGCCTCCCACGGCTTGATGGCTTCTGCGTGCGAAACGCCGAGCGGCTGTTGTAGGCAGACGCTGGGGATTTTTCTGGCACATTGAATGGTTCAGGAGCATCAGGAGGGGGAGATGGCGATGAAGGGAGCTGGCGTTTCTTCCCTGCGACTTTGGAAGAGCTATTGGCCCTCTCATCACCTTCGAGGTGATGTAAGGTGTCTCCGAGGGGGGCATCAAATGGGTCACTGGTGTCGAGAGAGTCCACGTCAGCAATGTCGACGTCAGCGTCTGACGTCAGAAGGCCAGGAAGATGGATTTGAGGGGACATATTGTAGGGGGGGGGGGTGGGCGGGTAAGGGGGGAGCGGGAGCAGGTGCGGGTGCGGGAGCAGGTGTGGGTGTGGGAGCGGGAGCATGTGCAGGAGCAGGTGCGGGTTGTTGCAGTGCCGGATCGATCAAGGGATCACCATGTGAACCCCCAGCATACAGCGTTGCTAGCGGATACCTCAGATAGTATTGTTGGCCGTAATGTGGGGGCAGAGTGCTGGAAGGATAGGTGTTGTGCTTGGGATATGCGTGAGGAGGTGGCTGAGTGTTGGCGCCAGGATATACATGCTGTGCATCTGGGGGCGCGTCAAACTGCATGGGGGGACTGCCCCCACCACGTGATTGAATCAGGGAATATAAGGCACCGGCGTGATCGACGCCGGGTTTTGATGAGTAGGTTTTCGTGGCCATGGACGGATTAGCATGCCAAATGGCATCTAATTCCGTGTACCATGGGAGCTCTGCCAGCGCCGCATCTACAACAACTGATCAGCCGAGGACCGGAAACTCAGGACCAAAGACTCACCCAATAAGTTTCTCATTTGCGTGCCCTCAGCTGGTATCACACCAGCACCTGTGCTGTCAAAAGACGCCTTGATTTTCTTGTATTTACCCCTGAGACTGGATGAATTTTAATATTTTTTATCAATGGAACAAAAAAAATGAAAGCGCTCACATTCCAATGCGGTTGCAGACTGCATCGCAGAATTTTTTTGCATTGACGGAGTATGCGTAACCATACTTGGGGTGATTTGTGAAGATTAGTTTGGCCAGGGTACCGTAAATCTGTCCTTTGTCCGAGCCTGAGGGACCGTCATCAGCAGTAGACATTGCTTTCTTCCCATCAGAGTAGAATAGAATCCTGCAGTCAGCGGGGTGCGTAGTAAGATAAGTAACAAGTAGATCAGTGAGAGCGTGGTCGCTCTGCCACTGAATAGTTAGGTGGGGTGCGGATTGCTCTGGAGGTGCTTTGAGCGATCCTCGAGAGTTTGAAGTTTCATCACCCATCGCCATCGAGCAGTGCACTAGAGGGTTGGTTTTGAGGCGTGCAGAACGACGGACACATTGACGAGAAGGAGGCATAGTTATTAAAACTCCGCCGAGCGATGCCGGCCTGACTTTCAATCGCTGTGCATCGGCCGAAGTTTTTGAAGCCGTTTAGCCGCGAGTTGAAAGCGTTTAGCCGGTGTTTAAGCGAAGTTTCAAGAGTTTCAAAAGTTGTTTTGAGTACCACTAATGTATTGACCTCGCATGCCTATTATACATTATCAGACGGCACTTTTGGTGGTGGGGACCATTGTCAGTGCCAGCTATTGTCCACACATCATATGAAAACCCCATGTACGACATCGTGCCAACCAAGAAATCCACAAACCACATTTCCATAATGACTGCTGAGAAGTATTCCTGCACGCCAGCTTCCTCCCACTCGGCTTACAGCCCTCGAAAGCGAACTAAAATCTTCTCTTCAGGAGTTGAAGGCTCGGAATCGCATTTTTGGTGAACCACTATCCTTAGACGAGCTGCTCGAGCCGGCTGAGGAAAAACAAATCGGGGATTCCCTTGGGTTCGACTTGAATGGTGGGGACATGGCCATTGTTGTTGCAGTCAGTCGAGAGATCGCTAAGAAACAGGGTGAGGTGATTGAAGCTGATTCTGATGATGACTCAGAAGAAAATCATGATGCAGCCCCAGAGGTTTCCCGTGTAGAAGCACTAGCGCTATGTCAGCGGCTCGAAGGAGCATGCCTTCAGCAATGAGCATGGACATTCTCAGGACTCAACACACACACTTGATTTGTTAAAGCAAATCCGTCGTTTCCGTGCCCAATTACAATGCGAGGAGCTACTCCATGCGAGGCAGACGACGTTAGACTCGTTTTTTAAGTAGATATGTACTCTAGCACCTTAGATTTTCGACGCTGTTGAGCGGTGTCACATGTGTTCGTCACATTTAGTCACAATGTGTGACATCGGTCCTTCTGTATAACTTTGATAATGTATAGGTGTGAGGTGGGTCCCGACGTTATACGTTATGGGATAGTCAACTGTACATGCGGATGCCAGTAAGTGCTCTCTGGAAAAGTCTATTTCACAACCCTACTTTACAGCCTTCCGCAGTAATCACCTAAATCGTTGATATATTAATACCACCTCGCCAAATAGCCACCCTCCTTCTATTTGTTGTTCCCCATACCCGAAAGTTCACGCATGTACCACGCAAGTTTCAGCAAACTTGGCTCAGCTAGTCAACATCATGAGACGGCAATCACAATGCGCATGCATCTTCCTCTTCATTTTCTCGCTCTTGCTAAGGGGAATTCGCTTGCTGTGTCTTTAGGGTTTATTCTAGCGAGCGAGAATCGAGAAGACCTATAGGCTGGCACTCACGCGGTTGTGGGTCATTTTGTATTGAATGACGAAACATATTTGGGAATCAGTCCCGCAGTAAGCATTCCCGAGGTGCGTGCCCCAACTCACATTTGCAGCATTGAGGTAACATTTACTCCTTTTGACGACTGCAGTACATGATGCACGCTGCGAGTGCAAACGCGAAGCTGTGCAATGCTAAACTCCGAAATGGACAGTGGTCCGCTTAACGTCACATTTGGTCGATACAAATTGAGGGCTCCTGACACCTGTACACGAAATACCCAACTTATTCCCCCTCCTCAATGAAAGTTTCATGTCCAACTATAGAAAGGTCGCTGTATTCTGGGACTATGGTAGGTTTCTGAGTTACCGCTTCTGACAGCTCATGGGATACATCCTCTCCCAGAAAACTGTAGTCCTCCCTTGAACTCACAAGGACACGCCATTGTAAATGGCATCCAACGAATTGCGCATGTCTTTGGACACGTAACATCATTCAAAGCATACCTCGACATAGGCTTACAGTCTCCCAAGTCTGTCGGGTTTCGCTCAGACCTTCAATCCTCTGGGGTGTCCATAACCGACTGCCCCCATAACGGTAAGAAAGAAGTCGTAGACAAGATGATTCTCGGTGTGTATTCCTTAAGGCGCCCCTAGCGTGCACTTTAAACCTCTTTTACCAGTGGACATGCTTGCATTTGCCATCGATAATCCGTCACCAGCCACCATCATCCTGATAGCCGGTGACCGGGATTATGCTTATGCCATTTCAACCCTCCGCCTTCGCCAGTATAATGTCATCCTCATCGTGCCTCCAACCATCTCCCAAAGTCTGGAGTCTCAAGCCTCTCTCGTAGTGGATTGGAACTTTGCCGTACTGGGAAAGCGCACAAAAGCCGACACGCCACCGGTGCGGCAACCTTATCCGAGTCGCAACCTTGATGGGGATATCGTCGAGCGGGTGCTACGCGAATTCAAGGAGTTGGATGAAGATCCTGCTGTCACCCCCACTCCCCCGGCTCCCCCCACGACATCTGCCCATACGCGGCGCGCCAGTGCGGAAGAGCTGTTTCAGCCATCAGTCTTTGAACGGAGTACGGCAGTTTCAGGTGATGCTGCCTTGACATGCACACCGAAGAAGGTTACTAGTTCAATCCCTGAGACGCCTGCACGTCTTAAGTTTGGGTCTTTGGCATCATGGACTAGATCCGCGTCACAGTCGACACAGACTGTCCTAGACATCAATCAAGGCTCAGCCTCCCGTCTTAAAGAGGACGCTAATGAGATTCAGGATGCTACTCGCACAAATTTTACCCGACTGGAACGTAACTCGAAGGGGCCGGACTTACCCCCTAGCATAAACTTCGGGAACTTTCCACCATCTCCAGTGCCTGCCGTCCCTTACAATTTGGGTCTGAAGAGCCCTCGCCTCGCCACCCGCACCACCCCCATCTCGTACGGCGAGATGCCCCAGAGAGTTGTGCCTCCTGTAGTGCCCTCGTTGCCTGCAGCCTCACGTGGGCGGACTGGTGGCGCTAGTCCATCGCAGTCGACGAACACTGGCTTTGTCTCGGCCATTATGGACGATCATGTCCTTTCGTCGGACCAAGTAGCGCTTTTGTATTTTTTTGGACCTAACAACGAAGACGGAGATGTATATGAAGATGATTATGAAGATGAGGCAACATATGAGGACGAATATGATGGTGAAGATGAAGATGAGGACGAATATGAAGATGAGGATGAAGACGAATATGATGATGGTGATGAAGACGAGGATGAGGACGAATATGAAGATGAGGATGAAGACGAATATGATGATGAAGACGAAGACGACAACAGCAACGAGGAGGTTGTAGATGGCTCAACCAGTCCACTTCCGACTGAGGTTAATGGTCACTCGCGTCCATATGTTGTGAACTCTACTGAATCGATTCTCGATACTGGCTGGCACGCTTGCATTGCGAGCTGATAGCTATCCTTCTGACAATGGCACTCCCCCCACCACTCAGCCTTCTTTAACTCCTACGTCTCAGATGTCATTATCGACACCGTCTTCCCTGACTTTGACTGACTCCAATTCCGACGTTACCTCGTCTGACGTTGAGATCGGCTCACAACAAACAATGTTTGTTATCAGTGATAACAAAGACAATCCTTCAGGGTGTCGAGCGCCTTTTGTCGAGTCCGTCGAGGATAAAATCCGACGCCTGACACCCATCCAATTCCTGCTGCTGATCAATCTGCTTTTGCAGGCGAAGTCAAAAGGAAACACAAAACCATCCAGGTTCGATGTTGCTAACGACTTGGTTCGATTCGACAAGAATATATACATGCGCGCGGGCGTGACTAGATTCGCAGAGTACACTTTGCTAGCGGCACAAAGTTCTGTTATCAGGCTTGGTGGGGGGGAAGACTGGCGGTGGCGGCTCGTGGATAGCCCTGCATCCAAATTGGTTCACGCAGGACGTTGACTTGGATACGCCCCAGTTTTTATCCATCCCATCGACTGTCCGTAGCAATAACTCTCCTACACTACAGGACAACACTCCAACTCCATCTTCACCTATTCCATTCGCGAGCACCGCGTCGCGGAGACCACCCGCACAAAACCCAGACGCTCGACCTTTTATGGCAGTCGTGCCCATCCCACTTTGCTTCCAGCCGCTCGTTACCTGCCTGACGAGAATTCACGATGATGGGATAATGCATCCCTTGCGTTCAACGGTTGGCCTAGTACTTGGACCCGTGGTATACTGTCAGGCTGGCACGTCCAGCCTGAAAGAGTATCTTGCCCAAGCAGTAGACCATGGTGTTGTGGAACGTGGAAGGGCTAGTGGTAAGGCGTAGGTGAAATTTCATGTGGATGTGCTGAGTGGAAAGCGTTGTTTCATGTCTCTGCGTGTTATGGTTGAACGTTCAACTCTACTATCTGTTGTATTGCTACTATGCATACATGCTGTGAATTAAGTGTTTCCCAGCAGACGAGGGAAGTCGACACAGCGAGTATATGTTTCAGGCTACTAGGTTGGCCTGTGACTGGTGCGTACCGAGCATAGACAAGGACAAATCCGAATACTTGATACAGATTTCTAGATTGAGTCTTATGCTTCACGACCGAAACTGATGCATGGATAACAACGACGTTCAAAGTCGTGTCATTGGTTTGAATACAGATGTGGTATAACACATCATAACAGCAAGATATATTTGCGATAGACATGATAGTTAGTAAATTTACGCTACACTTTCATTCCAATCCGGCAACTGCCATTGGCAGGCTTTCGCTACTGCCGCCAACACTACATGACAGAAACTCCGTCTGAAAGACCCTCTGATGCCGAAAATGTGCTGCCTGAGGTGATTTAACTCAAACTCTTCAAGATATCACGAGGATCGGGATTCATCGTCGAAACATGAGTACTGTTGCAATACGGCCTTCATCTCCCTTCCGATGCACCCAAGCAGCAAACAAACTTAGTTTCGAATGGCCAATTGGAGGGATCGTTGAGCGTAGCTCGTGTCAAGTCAAGGTTAGATTGTCTTGCATGTCTTACAAGCCCTACTAGCTCTGACTTCCGACTCGCAGAACTGCAGTGTAACTTTCAACTTCTGATATGCCAATGACAGAACGTCAACTCTCCTCACATCCAAGGCTTGCGTTCTCGTGAGATTCAGCCTGCCTTGTCTACGTGTGTGGTGCACAGCCAGTGAGGTGCTATAAGGTTTGCTACGTCAAGAATGTGAACTTAGAAAGTCGGTGTAGTATTCCGTCATCAATTGTTCAGTACTCGTAAGTTTTCCCGGTTAGCTCTTTTTGGGACAGATTGGGTGCGTCGGGTCCGATGCTATTGGACAGGTTAGAGTGGATATTTGCACTTGTCTGGTGGCTATCATAGATGATCTATGGCCTCCTGTCGTGCATGTTCTATTCTTCCCCTCACGTGCACTCGGCGTAATACTGACCAGAAATGTGATAAGTAACTGTATAGCTTTCCAAAAACCTAGAAACTGCCTGTGTTAGGTCGCATTCGTACTGGCCTCGTGTTCGCCTGACCCTGTCTGGACGAGCCATACACCCCGCTTCCCACCTTGTGTTCCAATCGTTGTCTCTTGTCTTCCCCATCACCTGGTCGCTTCACTCACATTACTGCAATCAATCTAAAGGTGAGCGAAGCTTGAAGCTCCGCAATACACAATCGGTTAATCTTAGTCTAGGCCGCATCTGACGCACACGGAAAAGACGGTGCCACGCAGCCCTTTTCAACTACTTTCACCCTGTTTACTTGCACTGCATGGGCCAAGCTATTTCAGTATTGATCATGGCGTATTGTGCCATTTATTCGGGCCATCACGCAAGATGCGAGCAAGAGAAAGCAGAAAAAAAGGCAAGGGAAATGGAAGAAATAGTGCGTGTGGCGAGGCAAGAAGCTGAAGAGGCGAGGCGCAGTGCCAACGAGGCGGAGGACCGAGCTACAGCAGTCCAAGAAGAAGCTGCACTCTCACGGGAGGGAGCCGAAGAAGCGGAACGAGCCAGGCAGGAAGCAGCAGAAAATGCACAGAGGTGTCAAGAAGAACTGGAACGGGCGTTAGCTGAGGCTGAAGAAGCTCGTTGCATAGCAGAGGAAGCGAGGCTCGCGGCTGAGCGTAAATGGTTCCAAGGAGTTCGCCCCGAGTACCGCGCTTCAGACCAAGATATTGTTCGGATGAAGGCCCGGTATGGTTACAGCACAAACTTCCTTCACCTCGCAGTTGTTGGCTCTGCTGGAGCTGGCAAGTCATCCTTCATCAATGCCGTCTGTGGCTTGTCCAACAATGACCCCATCGCCGCTCGTACAGGGATCGTCGAAACTACAGATGCTGTCACGAGTTACCCTGATCCACGCCCAGACTCCCGGACTATTTGGTACGACGTTCCCGGAGCTGGCACTCTAAATGTGCCTGAATGGCAGTACTTCAACGACCTGGGCCTCTACGTATTCGACTGCATCATCGTGCTCATCGACAATCGTATCTTGGACTCCGACCTCGCCATCCTCCGCGCCAGCGAGCAGTTCCGGAACGTTGATGCGTTCATCGTTCGCTCCAAGTCAGACCAGCACATCAACAACATGGCGTACGACAGGATGCCAATAGGTTTCGACCCTTATGACATGGACGAAGAGACTCACCGTCATTTTATGCAAATGAAATCTGAAGAACGGAAGAGATTCATCAACGAAACGCGTCGGAATGTGCAAACGAACCTAGAGAGCAAGAATCTCTCTCCTAAGAAGGTCTACATTGTTTGCAAGGACGCCGTGCTTGCGAAATCGAGTAACTCACGCTCCTCAAAGACAATCGATGAGGCAGAGCTTCTGAATGATGTTAAAGAATGTGTGGATAGGCGTCTGCAGTCGGGATGTTAAAAGTGGTGTCAGATCGTCTTGCTCAATTGTCAATCTGATCATTAGTATATTTTCTACCCTATAGCCCAGTAGGTGTGTACTGACAGCTCTGTTGCTCATAAAAGCTTGGATTATGCAGCACGCAATCTCGATATGTTTTTTCTTGGTCTTTTGTTGGCTGGTTTTATATTTATTTTCTCATCAGATATGACCGCATTCCGTGCTCGAGGCATCTTCGCACAATTCGAACTTCCGTACGTGTTGATGCCTGACTTGCGGTGATGTGCCTCATCATAGACAGGCTGGTCACCAGTCTAATTTTAATGTACTACCAAGGAAAGGGTCCTGTGGCCTTGAGATTCGGAAGGTTAACGTTCTTGATATCATATCCTTCCTCGATCATCAGCGCGCGTCAACCCCCGCATCAATAGCAACGGACACATGGGTAGACGATCCTAGCCCAGGGCGTCTATCTGAATCGCCACAACATATGACCGATCGAAGGCTCTGAGCTGCTAAGTTCGTCCATCGTGAGCAATGTTGCGCTCGTTACTTGAAAGCAATTGCATTGACGTTCATATATATATATATTGTGGAAACCTCAGGTCGCACATGTGCATGAGTAATCAAACAGATTTTGAGATCATAATCCATTGATGCTCCCGGCCACGCCTTCAACTGCATTTTTAAGTTTGTGTGTCTCACGTACGACACTATCGTTCTCGTCTTCAGCACATTCGCTTATGAATGTAGCGGTCTCTGCTACAAAGCCTAAGATGGCGTTAGCATTATCATCCTTGATCGCATGAACCGCACGAGGACGAACCGATGAGCTTCCCACCCTGTTCTCGCCAGAGCGCTTCCGAACAGGACAGTGCAAATATGCGCTCACGAGCATCATCTGCTCGAGTGTGCATGAGCAAGTCAAGGTTGATGGACTTGAGTAAGGAATCATCCGATGCTACGCTCGTCATTGCAATCAAGCAGTTTGTCAGTGCTTGTTTCCCGTCTGCGATATTCGACCTGATGCAACTGGAAACTTGCGCTATCAAAGGCTTCGCCACTGAGGCCAGTTTGTCATCACGCCAGAATACTGGGGAATCATGAATGAGGGATGCACGGGGAGATTTAAGTTTTCTCACCACCATCATCATTTTCGAAACTCTTTGTAAGGGTCTCGACTGTTGACAACCACAGCGATGGATTTTGAATTGATCCTGCAGCCAAAGACTCCAGTATTTCGCACAAAGCTTGCAGAAGCATTGACATGTAAGGGTTCATCAAGCCCTGCACCCGATAAATAACTGCATATCCGAAAGACGCCTTGAGAACGCACCTTGAAATAATCCAACAAGGCAGAGTACATATGGCAAAACGTGACTTTACGCTCAACGTTTGCTGCACGATGGTCAGCAGGGCAAGATGCTTCCGATGGGGAGTAACTCACCGCTCTCAGCTGCAAAAGCCCAGTCATACAAACGGCGGAACAACGGTCTGAAGGCCGTTTCGTTAAGCTTCACAACAAGTTCCAAGAATGCGGAAATGATATGTGGTTCTCCCTGGCACCAGTCAGTCTCACCGCAGGTCACAACGAAGTGACTCACATCTTTGGAACCAGTTGTGGATTTCATGTTCACGCCAAAGGCGTCGAGGAATACTGAGAAAATTGAACGGAGGTGCTCCTGGATATCAGGACGTCGAGCCACCCGAAGGCTGCGTTTGAAAAAGGCGAAGAACGCGATCAATCCTTCAACATGTTCCTATGACAGGACGTCAATAATGACAAATTATGCTCATCTCGCGATGTACATGCCTTTTTCTGAGATTTTTCCAAACTGGGCCACAGATCGCATAGTACAGGTAGTAGCGTGTTGCTTGGGATCTTCTTTGCAATAGCTTTCATTAAACCTGCCATGGCACCACTCAAGGTGACGGAGTATTCCAAATGGAGTTTGACGATGTCCACAAGTTCTGCAGCGCCGTAAAAAGCGGGAAGCGTAGATACCAAGCCTTGAAGGGTAGAAATGGCACCATCCACCGAAGATTGCGCTATTCGGGCAGAACATTCAATACTGGGTGTCAGATGTACGTGCAAAACAAGCTACTCACCCATTTTGCCACTCAATCCTTCTTGAAGGACTGATGTGCACTCTTGCGCAATCTCTCGGAAGTGAGGTATAAGCCGAGGTCCAAGAGAGGATCTATGCTTTGTTCAGTAACGTAGAACGCGCAGGAAGGGAAGATCCATACACGTAGCACGGTAACACAGCTATAGCAGATTGTAACGATGCACGTGCTTTGATGATCTTGATGACGGAAGGGACAGTAGTTACCAGTGCTGATTCCTCGCCAGGACAAATGGAAGAGCTGATCGCTCTCAAAGCATTGAGGGCCGAGTTGACCAATGCACCGGCTGACTGGCGAGAAACGACGTCCCGAATGCAGTCGATGATCGAAATAGCGGTCTTTTGTTGTTCGCGCCGGACCGCTTCTGTAACTCTTGGCATCCTCTCTGCGAGGACTTCAAGAGCTCCAGCCTTGATCTAGAGACGAGGTGAGAAAGGATCTCGTAAGTAAAATGTAGTCTTACCCTAGTCTCGTCTGACTGCATCATAACTAAAGCCCCATTCAGGAAGTCTGCTGCTCCGATGGCATTCATTACTTTTGACGTGGCCTGCTGTGTCACTGATACGATGTCTGCAATGCTGTTTTCGCCTTCCATTGTAGTAAGATCAACGAGGAGAGAGATAAGTTCCGTCGTTGCGTTGTCGCCCCTTGAGACATCGGTGGAAGACGTGGGTGTAATGGCATAACCGACAAATACAATAAGTGCCTGCGCACGTCGCTTGATGATAGAAGATGATCTGGCAGAGTGTTCTTCATCGCTGCAGTGAATGTATGAGCACGAAAGAGACAGAAAACAACGGGTTCTCGTACTGAACGTAGTCCAAAAAGGTAGCACCTGCCTCCTCGGAAGACGCGAGATTGCGGATAAGCCTTTTTGCCTCCCGCAGCGCTTCCTTGAGAACCTGCAAGACGTCAAGCGATATCCAAAAGCTCCACAATAAACTTACATGGAGTTGCAACTGTCGGGGGAAATGACGCAACAGCGATATCGGAAGTCCCAACGAGGTTGAAGCTTCATCCTCCTGTTGCCGGCTCACCCGATTAGCTACCCTGTCTACCAACAACATGCAAACCGGGGCCAAGAATTCTTCAGGTCCAAGCACATCAGCAAGGTGTATGAAAAAACTAATTCGATACATCAGCACCAAGTCCAGGGTGTCAAATCCTTGATGGACATACTTTTGTCGACGATGACGTGGAATATGATTGGATGCGTCCGTGAAGATCCGCAAGAATTCCCTAGCTCCAATATAAAGCTCGAGTCCAGAGGGGTGTCTAGATTTGAGTGATGACGCCATGACAGGAACGATGTTTTCGATGGTCTGTGGGGGAACAGGAATTAACCAACACGTTCCACCAGCCGCAAATATTCTTACATCTTGCACCACCTTGAAGCTGTATGAATCGTCGCGATGAAACACGTTAGTGCCCATGAAGGTGAAAATAGGCATGATGTTGTGAAGGACCGAGTCAGGCGTGAGTCGAGCCAGACTTGCCATGAGAAGGAGTGCTTGGTGGAATGTTTGCGGGTTCTCCGATACTGTGATAACAATGTTTCAGTCAGTCAGTACAAAGATTCAGAAAGTAGACCAAACCTCTGATGATTTCGACAAGTATGTCCAACCGAATGGGTCGGGCAGGAGCCTCCTTCTCATCATAGTCAGGGACTTGTTATGTACGCGCTATAGAAACAAATACCTTGATTTTACTAGCTGCTTGTTCCACGGCAGCCATGAGCATTTGACAAGGATAACTCGTATCGGACGGGACCGGTGAGTCGTAATGGATAATCTTGCCAAGAGTGTCAAGGAGCTGTGTTAAAAGGTCAAGCGAACCAGGAAGTTCCTTCGTTCCGAGAACTTCAGAAAGGAAAGTGAGTATCGACATTTTGTCCTCAATATTTCCATGAGATGGGCTTTATTGGGGGGGAAATATCAGGCCAGCCCAGGAAAATAGAGTAGGAATACATACCTATCGAGCTTAGCACGTTTACTGGCAGGGGTATCCGACTGATTTGCAGCAGGTTGGTAAACCACGAGCAGCTGATTGATAAGGTGGACATCCTGAAGAAGCTTGCTTAGAAGCTCCTTGGCGCACACATACTAGTGATACAGACACAGTCAGTCATAGTTCCGGTTACGATTGGCATGTCATCATACCACTTCGTTGCCCAACGATCCTGCCGACAAAAGGATATCGCAGACTTCAGCCTGCCGTTTCACGTCCAAATGCGCAAAAAGCTTCTCTTCCAATGCGTCTGAAAACAGTTTTCTGACGGCAGCGATTGCATCTACATGTCGTCAAGCAGCCGCACCGAGAAATAAGAAGAAAAAATCTCACTTGGCTGGAAGTATGTTCGCAACGCCAAAGCGAAGATCTGCCAGACAGAATCCTCCGGACCTGCATTCAAATCTCCAGCAGGGACGCTGAGGAATGTAGACACTACGAGAGCAGTGTACCGGTGGAAGTTGACGCCAAATAGATTCGAGATGGGAGCAGGATCCTTGGCCAATGTCTCCATGGCAGACATCACCATGTGTGATCTCGAAACATCTGATACGTCCTCGACAGAGAACATGATGGATATGCGAGCTTAGGCATGGATGAGTGACCGCGTTGCGACAGCAAATAACATATCACTCGGCGCCTGTATCTGGGTCAAGCGGGAAAATCAAAAAACGGTCGCAGAATTGATCGGCAAACACACTTTGCACTAGCAGCGGCGAGGTGTGTTGGTGGAATATCTTGATGTAGTTGCTGTCTTGCGCAAGCAAAGTGCGGCTTTCCAGGAAGCCTTCAAATAGGCCTCGAGATCCTTTGCATCAAGATATTGAAGGTGTGCTAGGTAGTGAAATGCATGTGAACTTGGAAGGATAGCATGAACGGCATAAAAAACCTACCAGATTCCGCTCCGTATATAGTGTCCAGCCCATAGACATGTTTCCTCTCCGACGTAGACGCCAACCAG